CCAATGCGGAAAAAAACTGTCTCATACCCCAACCCTCTCTATCGCCCTCGGTGCGACACCGCCGGGATACGGGGAACCTTCCTATTACCATCTGCGCGCAGACTCCGCCCCTCGGTCCTCTCCGGCCACTTGTTCCGCTAGTCAACTCGCTCTCCCTGCTCCGCATCTCGTACCTGGCCGCCGGGCCTGTGTAGCCACGATTAAGACGGCGCCCATCATAAAGTCTATACGGATACCCGTTCCGCCGGCTCCCCACCACGTGAGCACCCTCTGCAGCTTGCTGCAATCGGCGCGCTGCGTCGATGTGCTGCAGCCATCGCCCGCGCGAAAGCCTGCAACGCCACGCTGTCACTCCACCCCAGGAACCATCGCAGTTGGTGGATGTATTGTATCGCCTCCAGCCCGCGCGGCCACCACCTGCAAGGGTGTACGAACGAACTGGCGGCGATAGCCCAGACAGGAGTTCTCATGCGCTTCCTTTCCTCGTCATGGGCGCCTAGAGGCCCAAACGGCTTAGGAATCTGGCACGGAATTCGCCCGTTACCCAGGTGTAGGATGCCAGGCCAATCGGCGACGGCGCATTTCTCGTGTCGGGCGCTGCCTTCTCGAACCACCTCGTCTGGCACGTCATCGCGCCTATTCTTTCAGTAAATTAGGCTTGCAAGGCTGTGTCAAAACACTTTGTGACACCTCGCGTAAGAGCTTACCGTTGTTCAGGGAGCCCTTGGCGACGCCTGGAACACGGTGCACTTCACGTCTCGTTCTAGCCTGCGTACGCCGCTCGCTTGAACATCGTTCTACGGCCTTAGCTAGCAAACTGTCAAGTTTTGCCGTTCAGATCAGTGCCAACGCCCGAGCTCCGGTTCCCTCAACACCCAGGAACTACCGAGAGGAGACATATCAGCCTATCGCACACACTTCACAAACCATATTTGCATCAGACGCTATCACACCGCACACGATCAACTTTGACACTCTGTTGCCTCGAAGTCGGTCTTAACCGCTTCCCCGAGCCGAACAGCCGCGGAGCTCGGTCTTGATCGTCTTCGGCAGATAGCCGCCCAACTACCAGCGCACTGTTCAGTTTCGAAGCCGTAGGCCTGTGGTTTTGGCCCCGACTCAAAACCATCTCTTGCCCTCCCTCCTTCCCGGTCCGGCCGAGATATGTCCTTACTGTCTGAGCGTGACCTCCAAGACCATCGACTCGGTTCATCCACACTCACTCCTGACAATGCAACGTATCAAGCCCAGTGAGGCATTACCGTCGACGCAACCATCAATTTTTATTGCGCCCGCTCAACAAAAGCAGACAGCCATGATATCAAGCCCACGGAACTTCTCAGACAAACTTTGTAGTGAAGTCTCCCCACTTTCCCGAGAGACCCATCCGCCAGCTTTCTCTACCTCAGCTGCGTATCAGCCTGCAACGCCTCGACGCCGACGTACACACTTACGCCGACAGTGCGCTCTATCGGCTGTGCTAGAACATTCTAAACCTTGACGACAACTGCACTGCTCAGAGTGACCCCTTTAGAGCTCCCTAAAGTAGAAAGGACCCCGATGAATGACGACGCCACGATAAGCAAGTGTGCCAGATTCCCTACATGCCATATCATTATTGATTGAGAAGCTATTACGCCTGTCTGGTAACTGCCGCTTGTTCGTCTGTGCGAAGCCTAGGTGCGAGAATTTGAGATTGCTTTTCCTGGGCTGTGAATGGATCGAAGATGGTCATGTTGTGCGACTCGACTACCTACAAACAGCAATGCCTCATTTTATTTCTTGGGATAGCTGCATGCATAGCACTTTAGACCTGGAATACAAATTCTGGGCCCGCAGAACTTTAATTTATAGCTAAGCATTCATCAATCTAGGCCGACTTTCTGGAAGTCCAGGCAAGCTGACTACTGCAGGGCTTCATATATCCCGCTGCGGAGGCGCTGACCGCCACTACAAGCATATTTCCACCTCCACCAATGTACAGCGACTGCCACCAACCCAAAAGCTCCGTGCAACCACAGCTCATATTAGTTCCAACCACACTCATGTGGACGATAGGTCACAATGCCAGTATCATGCCTTTGCAGACGCCGTCCTACTGCACGCTCCCACCGACTAAATCCCACGGCAAAACCGTGGAAGTTGGCAGAATGACGCCAAATTTCATGCGCAGAGCACTATACTACATCATCGGGAGGACTTCTATTTTTCGAATTTCGGTGGAGGCCAGGTGTCGATCTGTGCTACCTTGATTGCCTTATTAGGCCCATCTTAGAAAGGGGTGCCCGGGCAGCATTTGGGGAAAAACGGCCCGACGATCACATGCGCGTGCTCTTTCCGCTAGTTAGCTGCTGCGGCTTGTTGCTGGCTCTTGCTTTTGCTTGCGAGGCGGTGCAGGACCGGACGCAAGGAGCACGGACAGTCGTAAGTCTTTTGCGTTTTTTTTGTACTGCCACATGCTGCCACATACATCATGCCTTCTTTTCCCACCGCGGGTCTGTGCGATAAGCTTCAATCTTGCTCGTTCTTGGCTTCTCTTTCCTTCTCTCTCTCTCTCTCTCTCTGCCCCGGGTCCAGGGAGAGCGAGGTCATCTGCACGGATGCATATTTTCCCTTTTCTGCTCCGAGCATGGCGCAGCACGTTGCTAGTGCGAGGTGTTCATGCAGGACGGCCGGCTTGGCCAATGATTGCTTCCAAGGAGATCCCTCTCGATCTGGCCGTAGCGTTCGTTGTGAGATGGTTCTTGTCTGCTGCCTTCTTGTCCTGCTGTCACGCTGACTTCCCTCTTTTTCCCCTTACCTCGCTGTTCGATGGACAGAGCGGCTTGTTCCCTCTGGTTCTTTTCTGTCCGCCTGCGATGCTGATGCCACTTTTACTTCCTTGTCTCAGGTTCTCATGACCTTTTTTTTTCTTCCCTTGCCCATTTTGCCACGGTGTGAGAGCATCATCGCCTGTTCCGGCCGGATGATCGCCGTGTCTCGGCATGCCCGGTGTCTCTCGCGGTCCAGCCCACATCTGCAGCAAGCTCTACGTTCGACCAACCATTTTGTTTCTGCCTTGTAGAATGAAGACGTTGGAGCTAACTTTGAGCAATACCTTTCATTTGAACACTACCAGACTTACAGCAGCTCCGACCCAGCGTACTGCGGATTGTTATGAGTTTTTTTTTTCCCTCATGCTCACTATGCAGATCTGCGCACGTTCTCGAAGCTTTTTTCCGCTCTCTCTCGGTAATACCCGAGAAGCCCGAGAAGCGAGGAATGTGGAGAGGAAGGTTCCGAAGAATTCTTTCTTATCCCTTGGTTGGTTGGGGGCGATGCGGAGAGAGGAGGAGGCGCAGGAGGTGTACACGCAACATGCGTACGTGGACAAAAAAGTTCGTTACGCAAGCTTCACCATAGTCTCACTTTGTAGATGATGGATCTATGGCCCAGCCCAGCCCAGCCCCCTTCAGGATTTCTTGTTTTTCTTGTGTGTGAGAGAGAGCGAGGGTACGAGGGCACGAAGGTGTGTTTCTAGACGCCGGTTTTCTGGACACCGTTTTTTCTGCCGCTCCCCCTTGCCTCGATCCTAGTCTCTCGTCATTCGTCTAGCCCACATGCCCCGCGTTCGTTTGACGAACGTATGTGGGGATGACTTGTTTTCGTGTTGCACGGCTGCCACGTGCTGCTGGAACGCTCTGACTTCATTGGGGTTCGGTTGGCGAGGCGAAGTCTTGGAAGTGGTTCGAGCGGATGGACTGCTTTGCGGGCCATTTGATTTCGCAGTGACGCACGCCTCCGGATGTTGTTGCGCTGTGATTCTGCCTGGTCTTTGCCTTCGTCGGTCGTTTTGGAGAAGGCATTGGAGTGTTTCGTCGTGGTGTAGATTTGTATGGAACGGTAAGTTGAGGAACATGTGGATTTTCAGCGCAATGTACTTTAGATGACTCTTTGTAGGCCGTCGATATGCTCTTTATATACCCTCGAGGCGTGAGCGGCATTCACTAAGATCCGCAGGTTGCGCTTCTTTAGTGTATTCAATTCACAGATTCGTGGATCTTATTGGACCTGTGAGGAATGTCACGATAGCCGCTTTTGGTGTTGAACTTTAACCATAGCGTAGGTTACACAGCCTTACGGCTGCGTTTGAGCGTATTCTTCTACTTTGCTTTGGATTAATCACAGCATAGCTTCAACTCGAGAGATGTGGTAGAAGGCTCTCGCGTAATAGAATGCGAAGCGGCGGCGCAGGCGCAGAAGAGTGCAGTGGAGAGAAAACAGTTCAACGTAGAGGAAGGCACAGCCGGCTCTGGAGCATCAATACCAGTCGTACGAGCCAGGAAAACACCATAAACACAGAGGAAAAGTCAATGGATGTGAGAAAAGAGTCATGATTCGTCGTCGTCGTCGTCGTCGTCCTCGGGGGCGCCGCCCCGGAAAAAAAGCTCGTCGTCTATAGTAAAAAAAAAGCTTTTCGTGCCACCAAAACCCCCCGGCAGCAAAAACCCCAGCGCAGAGAGGAAGACACGAGCTTCCAAAAACCCCCCAAAAACCCCCCAAAACCCTCCCAAACCCAGACCCAGACCCAGACCCCAAACCCCAAACCCCAAGATCCTTCGCGGGTGCATACCGCAGCCAACCAACCACACTAACGTCACCAGCCCGCGTACCGCAAGGGCCGTTTGGGAGATGGAAATAGGAATGGCGGTGACCTTGGCAGCTACATATACCTGAGAAAAAGGGAAAAAGAGAAACCCCCTCCACGAATTGACGAGACAAGGCAGGTGGCGCAGAGAGTCACTACCGAATCATAAAGACGGCATCGGTATGAACTTCCCGTTCCTTAGGAAGACCTTCCTCGTCCGACCAAAATTGTCAAAGACGTGAGCGAAGACTTCCGCGGAGGCGAAAAACTGAGGTCCGGCGAGGACAGGACAAAGCTCAGCCAAGACAAGGGAATCAGTACCATTACAGTTTCCGATCCCGTCTTACCAGGACACCAGGCCCTGGCTGCTTACTTAATACCTCCGACCCTCAACGACACCGTAACGAGCCCGGGCAACGTCATCAAGACAGCCGCCAAGGTCGTTCAGCACGCTGGAGTAAGGGAACGCGAGGCGCACCCAAGCGTCCACGTCGTCACGCGTGCGCAGCGGACGCGGGAGCGGCAGCAGCGGTCCACGGACTCCCGCAGCCAGCTGTTCGAAGCTGTAGCGAACTGGAGCCAGCTCCAGTTGCTTGTGGGGGTGCTGCTGGTTGAGGGGGGAGCCTGACTGGTGAACCATGTTGCTACTGCCAGCACCGTTGCTTGCATTGCACACGATCGGAGTGGCGGGCGGCGCAGCGGGCAAGCCATCTCCCGTGAACTGCGGCGGCACCTGGAAGCGTGCCGTCTGGTACCAACCCATCGCGAGAGGGGAAGGTCCGCCGCCGAGTTCGGTGGAGAGCGGGAAGACGGCGTTCCGCTGCGAGAGCCGCTCGTGCTCGAGTGCGTCCTGCGCGAGGGCGGCGCGGCGTTCTGCGGCGTTGTTGAGCGCGCAGAATTGCCGGAAGCTGTGAGGAAAAAAAGTGTCAGCGGCGAAAGTCTAGATCTTCTGGGGTTTGAAGTGAAGGAAGGATGAGGAAGTGAGATTGAGGTTGAGGGATTGTGTGGGTGCTTACCAGCGCTCCTCTGCCGTGTACCTGAGGTACTCCATGGCCGTATCCCAGAGGTAGGAAAGCACATGGGCGAAGCACCAGATGGTGAGGGCGAACACCGGGAACAGGAATTGGACCCAGGCGAAGTTGAGGACGGCGGAGGCGGAGGAGAAGGCGACCCAGAGCGCGGCCAAGGGAAGAGCCCGGAGGAAATTGACGAAGCGGACCGAGGGCTTGACAGGCGCGACGAGACTGCATGCGCGCTTGCGTCAGTAGGAGCCTTTGGATGGTAGCAGACATGAGGTTGCTTACGCAAGGGTGCCGAAGACGAGGAACATGGCGACGACGGCCACCAGACCGAAGTCGAGAACTTCGAGGAAGTTCATGATGATGATGATGATGATGATGATGATGATGATGATGATGATGATGATGATGATGGTGATGATGATGGTGGTGGTTGTGGTGGTTGTTGTTGCTGCTGTGGATGCGGCAAGTTTGAAGATGTGTGTTTGGGAGCAAGAGGAAGAGGAGCAGGCTTAAAACAAAATATCGACAGTATATATAGGGCAGGCATGTGAAAGGCGCACGAGCAGATGCCGGGCGGAAGATCTGCGTGGACAGAATAGGAAAGCACGCGAGGTTGAAGTGAGTCTACGCAGCGCTCCGCTGGCCAGTCACTTCTTCAGAAATCCGCCATCTTGCTTCCGCGCCGCATATTCCACCCGGCGGCCGGCTTACTATTGTCCGACGCATGGCTACACGCCTTGCTGGTTCAATTCAACTCAATGCGCCTCAATCGAGGGACAATAACAGCAATTCCCAATAGAGCAATCCACGTGACGGGCGCCATGCTTCAATGTCGTGGCCGCAGCCACTACCAACACCACGCCGGTCGGATTGACGAGAGGAAAAGCCGCTGGAGCGACTTATGAAGGGCATGTGGGCATTTGCGAAAGAAGGTGTGTGCTATATTGTTATGCCAGCAGCTCTCAAAGGCATGCGGTCCTCGAACAGCGCCAGTCGCAAACTCACGCAACAAATAATCAAGGCTCACAAGCAAAGGTCTTAATTTTTATTATGCAGGCAGTAGGCCGGCTCGTTTGCCATCTCAACAAATCGAGGTAGTTGAAGCCGCTGTCCGGATATGAATGCACGAATAATATGTGAACAAGGGCATCCGGACAACAGCTTCAACTACCCCGATTTGTTGCAATATCAAAGCTATCATCGGCTACATTGCTGACCCATCCGCTCAGCGCGGCTGTCTTCGCCAGCTTTTTCACCCGCTGGCGCTCTAGCAACAGCGGGCTTCTCTTGAGAGCAGCGTAATCCTTGCTGTCAACAAGTATACCTACCAGCTCCGCGACTTCCGGGGTGGAGTCTTGGTTCAGGCCATTGCCGATATCAGCTACAGAACTCCACATTGCCCGCCGCGAGACTACGCTTGCTCCTTTGATGTCGCCCTGCTTCCTTCCTTGAAGTGCGCCGTTGATAATGACCTCGTTGCGCAGTGGAGTGTACAGAGCACTCAGGTTACATGGAATGAGCTTCTGGCCTGGCAAAGCACTTCTTCTAGACCACTCAAACTCGTGCGAGATAGTCTGCACCTCAAAGGGCCGAAAAGTGTAGGCATGAGGCCACGTTTGGCTTGTCTCAGAGCACAGCGGGGCCATTCTTCCTGAAGAGCCGAAGGCACGTGTGGTTGCCGCTGGTACGTGCTGAGATTCAGGCAAGATGAGAGTACGAAGGTAGGCAGTCCGCGGGTCGAGGAGAAGGGCAGCTGGCGCATTAAGGAGAGAAGTGCATTGCTTTAGCGCAATTTTATCTGTACAGGATTTGCTCAGGGTTGCGGGAGCATCAGGACGAGCTGATATGGCGGGATTATTAATAAGATATAGGCCACGACATGCGGCGGCGGACGTACCAGGCTTGCGGCGAACGACGCCGAGCTCCGAGAAATAACCTCGACCTCTGAGCACAACGTCCTCCGACGGCGCAGCGGACGTCGGATTTGCGGGTAGCGACCAGGGCGTGGGATCCTCTTGAGCATCCATGGTTAGCTCCATGCTGGCGTCCCCGCATGGCGCCTCGGAACAGTACATGTGGATCTCCACGTCGCTCCGGAGGGCAAAGGGCTGCGGCACAGACCGAGATATCTCGTCCGCATCACGACGCCTCACGAAATCCGAGACACGAGCCCCGGACGATACGAGAGCCGCGCACTCGTCGACCAGAAAACGGTTGAAGGCGCGGAGCGCAAGGATCTCGGCGTGCCAGTCGTGCAGCACAACGCCGTGGGCTGAGGGCACCTTGCTCGCGGGAAGGCACTTCATGCCTGTCCTACATGGTGCACGCTTAGTGTAAATAGTGGAGCACACAAGACCTTGGAAGGGGCACTACCCCAGAGCGATGCAGGTCAACGTGGGTCGGTCGTCTGCTCAGCAATGGCACGTTAGTGCGTCAGCCGAAAAGGGCACACGACGTCGCGGACTGATAAGGCGCGAGTAGCGTGTGATGTCTGTACCTGTCGTTCGAGCAAGCACCACGCCTGCAAGCGGCACCCACTCTCGAGCATGCGAGTCTCGCGCGCGCGGCTTGCACTTGGCCGGAAGCCTGTCGAAGGCGCCGAGCACACAGGCCTGGACGTCGGAAGGTTCTGGCGGCATCGTGGATGTGCGTCGGACCGGAGAGATGTGATGCGAACGCGTGGGGTCCAGGGATGCGCGATTTGTGGACAAACAGGGCGTGCTGTCGCCTCGGAGATCGGGCGTCATCTGGACGCACAATCGAGCCGATGATGGCAGGGCTGTCGGCGTGGGCTTGGGGCTTGTGCTGAGCCGCGAGTGGCCTGGCGGCCTGGGGAGTGGACACCCCGACTGAGGGTCGCGCCGCTCGGTTGCACTCCCGCGTCTCCATTCCACCCCCAGCCCTGCCATTCCGCGACCAGCGCCTTGCCCTGTACGGACGACGTGACCGCGACAGAACAGGAAGCGCCAGACCTGCCCCGAGCCTCGTCCTGTTTGATAAAAGGCCTTGCCGCTGCCCCCCACGATGCAAGCTTTCGGTGAGGTTCTCCGCCGCCAATGGCTCCGCGGCGCAAGTCTGTCGCATGGGCGAGTGAGTCGCTGACGGCTCTCGCAGTCCCCAAACACCGCCGAGTAAGACCCAAACCCGCGTCGCACTCTCTTCTCCGTGTGCTAACTGCTGTCGCAGCCCAAGTTCGACGTCCGCCTCAGAGTGCGTTCCCCAGATCCTGCCCCCCCTCGCTTTGTCCCTGACCCCGCCCGCTCCTAGATCCTCGACCTGAACAACGTCCCGCTCGTCTCTGGTATTTCCTACGTGAAATGGCACATCCCTGGCTCCGCTGCCGCCGAGCACCGCGGTCGCACCGAGCGCCGTGCCATCAAGGAGCACAAGGTGTTTTACGTTTACGAGAAGCACATCCCTGTGCGCATCACCATCCAGAACAAGTCCAAGATGCTCGAGGATGCCTGGATGCACTTTGAAGTCATACAGGAGTACAGCGCCGGCGGCAAGAGCGACAGAATCGTGTTGGGAAAGGTCGACATCAACTTGTCTGAATATGTTGAGGCTAGCGAGCTGGAAGCCGACGGAGTAGTGCGCCGGTATCTCATGCAGGAAAGTAAAATCAACAGTACTCTAAAGGTTAGCTCCCCGAGGCTCCCGGGGTGACGGTAGTGCTTATTCTGGTAGATCGGAGTCTATATGAGACAGGTCGACGGAGACAGGGATTACATTGCGTGAGTCGCACCTCGCAGCCGCGAGCCTTCCTTTGCTAACACACCACAGTCCCTCGTTAAAGAACGCTCAAGTTTTTGGAGGAATCGCAGGAATCATAGCTGGAGAACAGGTGGAAGCAGATGAATCAGGCCGTATGCATGCCACGCTCGTCCGATTGACTCGACTGACTTTGTTCTAGACCTGCCGACCCTGAGTAAAAACAGCCGTGCCGACGGAGAACTGCAAGATATGTACCGTCGGACAGAAATCGCATTCTGGGCCGCGCAACCGGGAGAGCTCCGCGCCGACGAGTGCATCGAGGACATATTCAGTGGAGGAGACGGATGGGGCAATTTGGAGGGCAAGAGTCTGGGCGATCGCTTGGGCGTGGAAGCAGACAGCACATCTATGAGCGACAGCGGATCTCGATCTCCTCTACGCGGATGGCACAGGAGTAATCCTAGCCAGGGAAGCAACAAGTCGCAGGATACGCTCAAGAAGGTGCGAATGCAAGGTCATGAGCGCGGGCTTTCTCTCCGCGGCAGGGCTAGTCTGGAACAACAGGCAAATCAGATGAAGGCTGAGGCACAGATGGCAAGGCCTAGACCGGCCAACGAGGTCGAGGAGCTGGATATTCGGGAAGATTTGAGAAGCTGGTCGCTCCCCGTGCATTGAAGGCGATTTCAGGCATCGGAAGACCATCTATTGGTGGACAGCGCAGCTCTTTCACATTTTTGCATAGCATTGGGCGGAGTTCTCAAGAGGATTTAGATTTCTGTATATAGAATGGCTGCCATACAAACAGGCAGTTGTAAATAATTTCTTGGCAGCTGCACGATGCGGTCTCGACGCGGCGGCGCATCGGACTCCCGACTCGCCGGGTCCAAAAAAGTGCGATTCGGTCAGAGACGGGTACCGAGCGCGCAAAGCTGCTGCTGCACGCCCCAGGAAGTGAAGAACTGCACAGCCAAGTCCGATCCAGCAGAACACCAGCTTCTTTGCCTTCCCTTATGCTTGCCCGGCAATCTTTGGGCGCATCAGTATGTCTACGATGCCGACTTAACCAGGCGCGATTGTTGCGTCTTGGACGCGCGCCTGTCGCACCTCTCGCCGCCACCACCGCGATCTCATCCTCGTCCGCCTCGACCTTCACGAGCCTTGCCCGCCAATTACGAGCTAGTGAGCCATTCGCTGTCCCAAATGCCTTCCAGCCCGAAATCCGTCGAGACACCTCTGAATTCAACCCGCTCAATCCCGTCATTCGCCATGTGTCCATGGAATCTCATCATAAAGTCAAGAGTGGTCGCGGGCGCACGGTAAAGCACATTAAGCTCTCTAAGCCCATCAGGGTCAATCGCAAGGGAGAGAGGATAAAAGAGATCTCGGCGCCGCTGCAGCGTAAATACCTGGGCGAGGATTCGGAGGTGCTCATTCTGCGAGACATCACGCCCATACGGAAGGAAGTGGAGCGAGATGATGATGTCGACGAATCTTCGGCCACGGCCGCCGCCACGGGCGAGGAGGACCCCGCGACGAAGCGGCGGAGGGAGATACGAGAGGCGCTCGAGGCGTCGATAGCGGGCAAGCAGGCCGTGGCCGGGCAGGAAGAGGCCAACGAGCAGATCAACAAGCTGCGCCCGGTGTCGGCCGAGGGCCCGCAGTACCCGGCCTTCATCTCGCGCAAGGACTTGAAGGCGCTGCGCACGGCGCTGAAGGACGGCTACGCCGTGGCCCAGCTGCGCCGCTACGCGGACGTGCAGGAGAGCCTGGACCAGCTGCAGCAGCTGAAGCGCGAAGAGCGCGCCGAGCTGGGCGTGCTGTGGGAGTCGGCGTGGCAGGAAGGCACCTCGCCCATCGAGCAGAGGTTGTCCGAGGCCGATAGGCCGGATGTGCCGGTGGCTGCGCTGCCTAAGATGAAGGTGGTGGACCGGATTATAAGAGGGTTGTGGGGCGTGGGTGTCATTGAGGAGAGCGACGCGTTGGGCGAGATTGAGATCAAGCTTGAGCCGTGGCAATTTGATCTTTTGACCCTCGCAAAGCGTAAGGCAGCCTCGTGCGTGTGGTCCGCAGTTTTGCTAACCTGCTGCTGCAGAGAGCGAGAATTTCACCATCCTCGACAATATCGGATATCAACGAAAAGTCCGGATTGAGTCGTATCGTCCCGAGAACATTCTTCGGTTCACCGCGGAGAGAGAGACCGCCGAGGCAGCTGTCACCGATATCGAGCGCCTGCTGAGACGATTTTTGATCAGGAAGTTGGACTTGCAGGACTTCGAGTCGCTTCGTCAAAAGCGCGGCTTGGAGACACTGAGGGATTTCTTCTCTCAGAAGGATTTGGAGTTCACTGCGAGATTGAGCAACACCGTCATAGACAGCTCATCCGAGTCCGCGGTAAGAGCGAGCGTTTCCCCAGACTGGCAATTGCTGACTGTTTGTAGATCATGATCTACGCCATGGATACTAGCACTTTCGAGTTGGCACGACGAATCCTGATCAACATAATAAATCCTCCTTCTGGCGCCGAAACCAGCATTATGGCAGATGCTGAAGGAGAGGGCTTCTTGCAGACCAGCGGCGCTGACAGTTCATTACACTACCGGGATAGAGAGAAAAACTACGCACGCTGGACCTTTCCAGTCAAAAGAGAGGAGCCTACGCGCGAGACGAGTCAAGCTTTGGATGAAGAGCCGGCATCCGAAATACTGGAGGATTCCACGAATACTCCGACGGAGGCACAACCTGACCACACTCCTGGTGACAGAACACAAGAAGTTGGCAGCGCTAACAGTCGATCGCAACCTGCTCAGAAAGTCATCGATTTCTTCACCTCACGATATGGCCGTTCGAGTGATGCCTCAAGGGAGCCTCGTGGCGCAACCCGAAAGGAATCTCTTTGGTCGCCTTTTCCGCTGATTGAGTACTATGCCACTTTTGGCAATATCCTTCACAAGCCTCCTCCAACCAGCGATCCGCTGTCGCCAATCTCCTTTCAAAACATAGTCGAGCACGAAGGTGGTCCCAAGCGAATCTTCCTCCATACCCTTCCTGGATTCAGTCCGTTTCTACAACATATCACGTCCAAAGCAAGTCTCTCCCGCCATTCGAACGACTTGTTACTGCCTGATGCTCTCCTTTTCCGTTTCATACCATCTCCGTGGGACCTCGAAGATCCATCATCGCTGGAGGATTTCCCGGAGATGGGATTGCGGATTGAAGTTAACTCACTATCAGGCAAAGCACGCTTCCAAGGATTGGGCATGACGCTTCGAGAGCGAAACATGGACGTGCTGATGCCTGGAAAGCCGGTTGATGTCCGTTTCACCCAGCGTGAAGTTCTTTGGACGGATCGGATCCTGGATCGTTCTGAAGAAATTCGGGATTACCTCACTCGTATCACCACCAATGTCGACGGTGGTGGAGCCATCCGAGCTCCTCCGACGCTAACAATACGAATTCCTGCTTGGGCTGTGAAGAACTCGGACAAGTACAAACATCTACCGTTCGAGTTCACGAAGCTCGGAAAAGAGTACATCAAGGAGTTCATCTACACCGGCGTCGAGCACAGGCAGATGTCCAGATACGAGCTTCCAAACGGCCAGCACCGCGTGTCTTACACGTCTGTCGAAGGCGGCAGGGTGGGTGGGCGTCGCGGCGAATTGCGTCTACGGCTTAGGGGAGCTGCCAAGACTACGGAGCAGTTGAAAGCACAGGTGCCGGGACTGGTCGAAGAGGCGTTCAACATGGCGTCTACGATCGAGGATGCCGTGCACCACAGGTTGCAGCCATCTGATCCGAACGTCAAGAGTTATATGTATCATCGAAACTACAAGAGGCTCTCGCGTGAGGGAACGTTGGAGGATCCGCTGCCGCCCACTTACAGGGACCCTGATGATGAGGGTGGCAAGAATGTGGAGAAGGCGGCGTCGGAGGGTGGCGAGACTGAGCAGGCCACTGCCCAGGCAAAGGAAGAAGCTAATAACGCGCGCGTCGTGGATGATGATGCGCCGTTGCAGCCAGGTGCGAATTGAGCATGTCGTTTCATCAGCATTTCTTGGAGCAATTTTTTGGAGCTATCCAGGCCCCCCGGCGAGGTACGTGCAAGAAAAGTTACGGGCCAGGGCGTTGGGCACTCACCTCTGGCGCGACTGTAAATTTTAGAGGGAAATCAAAATGTACAACATGTAGACCTGTGAATCATTAGACAAAGGATTCTGCGGTGTTGGTGAGATAGCACGTGCAATGCCCGCGGTGTCTCTGCGCGGTACCGTATTGTAGCTAGCACGGGCGAATAATTTTTTTTTCTGCCCGCGCGGCCCGCCGACGTCATGGCAATTCCAAGAGCGCCCGAAAGAGTCATTCGACCGGCGGGGTGAGCCGCACTGCAATATGGGAAATTTGACGCAGTTGCCTATTGCTGGACTGTGGTTACACCCATGAAGCGGGCGCCCGGAGCCGTGCATTCTGCGGTGACCAGAAGCGAGGGGAAGAGGCATTTGTAGGAAGCTCAGCGGAGGGCAAACACCAAGCGCCACAAAGCTTTGACTCCCGCAGGAGCGCTTGGAAAGCCGGCAGCGGGTCTCTCAGATTTGCGGGCGAGGAAGCGTCGCGAGCTGCACGTTGCCGCCGGCGCTGCAAGTCACGGTGGTTCTGGACGGCGTGTGGCAAGCAGATCTGCAAAAAGCCTGCAGTGCGGTGAAGCCATCTCGCGGCTAGCGGGCGAGAGACCCAATTGTATGGCCTCAAGCGCCGTGGATGCAGAGGTAGACTCCACGGGAGTCATACCGTGAACAGCGCATCAGACGAGCGCTCGTTGGGCCGCCGCCGCAAGGTTGCCCCGCCATCAGCTGGCAGTGCATGAGGTAGGGCACAAAGTTTTCCCTGCTTAGTTAGCGCCCCCACCACCGCCGCCCGAGCCCGATAAAAACCTTCCTGCGCCCCTCCATCACCTCTTCTTCTCCTCTTCGTCTCACACACCTCGAATCGTCGGCATTCGTACCTGTGTACGCCCTACCCCACCGCTGCTGCCCTGCCTTCGCCATTGTACTGACCGTCGCTCAGGACTTCAATCCACTTCATCTCCAAGTTCCAGAAAACACTTCCACACCGTCACCATGGGGTACGTCGTCGCTCTCACCCCGCCGCCGGTCGCACCAGCGCGCAACAACACATGCTGACTGGCATCGCAGTAAGGAAAAGACTCACATCAACGTCGTCGTCATCGGCCACGTCGACTCTGGCAAGTCGACCACCACCGGTCGTAAGTTGCCCCTCACCTGCCTTGCGCCTCAAGGCAACATCGCTTACATGTTTATTAGACTTGATCTACAAGTGCGGCGGTATTGACAAGCGTACCATTGAGAAGTTCGAGAAGGTCCGTGCACGCATGTCGTTTTTTAACCCCTCTCGACTTCGGCGCTGCAGCGCTGCGGCGCACAGTCCGCCTTATCGCTCTGGTGAGGGGCATTTTTCGTGGTGGGGTTTGGCCCGCGCTAGCCTCGTCTGGGTTCGGCAAAATGACCGCACTTGGTTTTTTTGCGACCGGCGTCTGGCCGACGCGCCTCCCCACTAGCGAAAAATGCTCTGACCACTCATGTACCGTCGTACGAGCAAAGGCTAACGCGCCCCACTACAGGAAGCCGCTGAGCTCGGCAAGGGTTCCTTCAAGTACGCCTGGGTTCTTGACAAGCTCAAGGCCGAGCGTGAGCGTGGTATCACCATCGACATTGCCCTCTGGAAGTTCGAGACCCCGAAGTACTATGTCACCGTCATCGACGCCCCCGGTCACCGTGACTTCATCAAGAACATGATCACTGGTACCTCGCAGGCCGACTGCGCCATTCTCATCATTGCCGCCGGTACTGGTGAGTTCGAGGCTGGTATCTCCAAGGATGGCCAGACCCGTGAGCACGCTCTGCTCGCCTACACCCTCGGTGTCAAGCAGCTCATCGTCGCCATCAACAAGATGGACACCACCAAGTGGTCTGAGGAGCGTTACCAGGAGATCATCAAGGAGACCTCCAACTTCATCAAGAAGGTCGGCTACAACCCCAAGACCGTTCCCTTCGTCCCCATCTCCGGCTTCAACGGTGACAACATGATCGAGGCCTCCACCAACTGCCCCTGGTACAAGGGCTGGGAGAAGGAGACCAAGACCAAGTCCACCGGCAAGACCCTCCTCGAGGCCATCGACAGCATCGACCCCCCGGTCCGTCCCTCGGACAAGCCCCTCCGTCTGCCCCTCCAGGACGTCTACAAGATTGGCGGTATTGGAACGGTCCCCGTCGGTCGTGTCGAGACCGGTGTCATCAAGGCCGGCATGGTCGTCACCTTCGCCCCCGCTGGTGTCACCACCGAGGTCAAGTCCGTTGAGATGCACCACGAGCAGCTCACCGAGGGTGTCCCCGGTGACAACGTCGGCTTCAACGTCAAGAACGTCTCCGTCAAGGAGATCCGTCGTGGCAACGTCGCCGGTGACTCCAAGAACGACCCCCCCAAGGGCTGCGACTCCTTCAACGCCCAGGTCATCGTCCTTAACCACCCTGGTCAGGTCGGTGCTGGCTACGCTCCCGTCCTGGACTGCCACACTGCCCACATTGCCTGCAAGTTCTCTGAGCTGCTCGAGAAGATCGACCGCCGTACCGGCAAGTCCATTGAGAACAGCCCCAAGTTCATCAAGTCTGGTGACGCTGCCATCGTCAAGATGATTCCCTCCAAGCCCATGTGCGTTGAGGCTTTCACCGAGTACCCCCCTCTTGGTCGTTTCGCCGTCCGCGACATGCGCCAGACCGTTGCCGTCGGTGTCATCAAGTCGGGTAAGTCGTTCACCGTCGCAACTAGCATGATCATGAAGCTAATATTTTTGAATAGTCGCCAAGTCCGACAAGGCCGGTGCCGGCAAGGTCACCAAGGCCGCCCAGAAGGCCTCCAAGAAATAAGCGGTTCCTACCCAGGTTCCTCTTTTTTCTTTGTTCCCTTAGCGCAGACTTTAAAATCGGGTTTTCGCAGAGGGTTTTCTGGTGATGGAGCATTTCTTACTTTTCTGACGGTTTACGAATCATGGGAAGGGAGGACTGCTAGATTTACTTCTATCCTTCCAACAAAAAATAGAAGTGATGATGTTCTGACAATTTTGTTTCCCTCTATTGATGACGTGTCTTGTGTGTCGCGGAGTGGCGTTACACTGCGTCCGGTCGCGATGTGTCCTTGCACTTCCTCGCAAATCGCTGACCTACATATGTCCGTGCGTTTGAGGCAAATTCCCCCGCAGATACTTGGACCTCATGTACTACTCGAACAATGTCCTGTATGTCACAACTGCAAGCACTATGCTTGGAGTAGCCCCAGCGGTAGAACAAACTGGGCGAATATACACATATTAGCATCATTATCATGCTAGTTGCGACGGTGAACGACTTACCCGACTTGATGACCTTGCCGGCACCTGTCTTGTCCGCTGACTTTCGTGGCTTCATCCTCTACATGCTTGTTATTGTTACTAAAATTGCCTCTTACTCCAGAATCCCGTATACGTCCAACCTATGAGCACTCGAAACACTCATCCAAACGCCTTTATCGTATTTGATTAAGCATATCTACACCCACACGCTTCACGTACCCCACAGTGCGTCACTGAATTTTCGCCCATCCTTGGTTAAGCTACAATTAGCGAGCTTATCATTTGCCCCGTGCCCTTGCCGGTAGCTCCCGGCGCGCCTCGCATGTTAGCTCCCGTAAGCCAGATGTGCGAGATCCTTGGGGAGATCTTTTTCCCTCATCAGTCTTGGGGACAGGCTCGGGGCGGGGCGCAGTAGCAGCAGGGAAAGTACGGAGATGACCCCGCCACTCAAGTTTCGTGGAATGTTATTGGTGGGCGGCTACGTTTTGGTAAGAGTGGGGGGCAGAAGGGTTTTTTGGATTTTGTGGATGAGGTTGGTTCGCTGGGTATTGTGACATTTTGGGGGACGTGAAGCTCTTGTCCGGATGCGTTTGTTTATATTATAATTCGAACATTTGTGTCCGGATGAACGCTTCATCTACCCCAACTTGTCATAATTTTGAGAAGGGACCTTGGGTTTGTTATGCAGGAATTTTTGCTTTTCTACTTTGAACTCATCTGCATCATCAACACCGAAGAGTACCTCGACATAGGTGTTGCGCCTTGCCCTGAGCACGATGTGTGTAGCAAACACGCAGTTTGGGTTGAACCAGGTTCCAAAAATTGGACATGACCACAGGCTGGCCGCCTTCAAAGTTCTTCATTGGAGGTTTCGGGAACTCGGCGGGCCCCGATGCGTCACTCCACTTCTTCATCAGATACCATCCTTACCAGCCAAATTCCTCGATACGAAATTTGCGCTTCTGAGGGTAGTTGAAGCTCACGTCCGGATGTGTTTGTAGCTTTTTAAAATTTGCAACTACGTCCGGACGTTTGCGTCCACTCCCTGTATTTGTAAGAAATGATAGCCCATGAGAGAACACGCGACAGTTCAAAGTATCTTGTGGCATGATGGATTTAAGGAAATCAATTTGCCTACATTTTCGCGTGCTGTCTTCTCTAATTGCTAATTGCCAATTGGACGCCTAGCAGCATATATATTCTCCGTTGCCTGCGGGTATTCCATAGATTTTCCTACATACATTTATCAAATGGTCTATAAAAATACCCATCAACTGTATACTCTGCATTGCACGGCAATCCTTAAGCCATCTACTCCAATCAGGACCCTGTGCCAACCTCTACTCTCCTCCTTCATGCTTAGGCGTGTTAAGGGTCAAACTGTCGTGTTCCTGGGACAGGAACACACGATTGCGCAGAGCATCCCACCATTCCGAATCACGACCCATGAGCTTTCCATGAACTCAGAGCAAGCAAGACTTTAAATCAAAGCTCATGACGATCTGATTGGTGATCTCTCAAGGCGGGGAAAGCGAGTTGAGAATGACGACAACACTCGCGGTAACATCCACATGGGTGTTCACAGATTCCTTTGCCACGCGACTACAGATCCTGCTCTCGACTCTTACAGGAAGGTCAGCGCAAAGAAGGTAACTGCATCAGCGTTAGCCAAGCTTGCGGCCCAGCCTGATGGCGGGTATGCTGCACATCACAAAATCACACGACACCTCAGCCTCAGAAGCAACACGACAACCTCAGGGCAACTTCTCGCGTGAGTACTTACCTTAACGTTTTGTTAAGTTGCATCCGCACTGGGCCCTTCGACCCCCCCAGACCCCACCGCGAGACAGAACGCGTTCCAGCACATGATGGCGACTTCTGCTGCATCAAGGGTGTTCCCGAAAATTCGTTCGAGGCTTCCAGTGTCTCATTGTGCAACTTCTTCAAGCGGATCCTCCAAGAAATCTGCTCCGCCCAAGCCATCCGCGAATCAATCCAAGGCTCCCTCCATAACTTCATTTCTTACCGCCTCATCCAGCACACCAACAGATACGTCGGTGGGTCCATCGGCAGCAGATGCAACACCGCAACCTCGTGAAACCCCTCCGCCTTCGATCGCCCCAGCAAGGCCTAGGTCCACTTCATCTCAGTTTACACGTTTATCATCTCCGTTTCCCCCGACCCGACGCTCAGCGAAGCCTCAAGTGGAGCCTCAAGTGGAGCCTGAAGTGGAACCGGGCGTACCGGATGTATTCTGGGACGAGAGAAGCCGTTACTATCACGTAGACTACTGGGCGGGCATGACAGCTTCCGACATGAGAAGTGCGATTGGGAGGAACATAGATTCTGAGGTATTTCGGAGGAACACGCCTGGTTTCTCAGGAAATAGGAAAAGTTCAACACCTGCCATCGACGATGAGGCTAGCGACAGTGCAGCAACAACGAACACGCCAAAGAAGGGGACAAAACGCAAGGCTGAGGTCTATGAGCAGGATAGCATTGAGCAGGGGGGCGTTGAGAAGGATGGCGTGAAGCAGGATACTTGCTTTGAACAGGATGGCGCTGCTAGAAGGAAGCGAAAGCATAAGGGCTACAAATAACTTTCACTGGATTCTTCTGTTGCTTATCTCTCTAGAACGAAATCAAATCTATAAGAGCAACCTATTGTTCAATGTGACTGATTCATGCTTTTCAAATGACAGTGGTATGGAGTGCTGCTCTTTTCGAGCCTGCGGATGTTGACCGCAATTAATATTCTTGCTAGCTACAGTCCCTTCGAGAAGCCGATGGCTAGCGTAGATTCGGTTTATTTTTTTTTGCTCATGTCATGGGTAGATAAAGCTATCGTCCGGACGAGAATGTAGAATTAAAAATTATACAAAAACATCCGGACGATAGCTCCAACTACCCACGTAAGTTAAATTTCTCACTCCACATTTCCATATTGCGCTAATCTCGGATGTGGATGTGTTTAAGAAATGGAAGATATGCTCACCTTTAAGTAATCTGCACATGGACAAAGACAACCGTACACGTCGAAATTAACAGACCTAGCCCAGGCTAGCTGAGACAGTTCATCTAAAGTTGGTGGTGACTCTCTTCCCAGCAGCTTCTTGACCTTGGCTAGCACAAGCTTGGAGAGTTCCGTTACCCATATCTCTGCACTTTTCTTTCCAAGCTCTTCCTTCAATTCCTCAGTTATAGACATGTCCTTGACCGCCATCTCCGCGATGATCTTCGTGCAGCGGTCCAGAAAAAGATCTCCGCCAGACGCCATCTACATCCCAGCGTTAGCTAACTCTGACTCAAGTTGGGTCACGAAATGGGAAACTTGGTTACCTTTGACAGATCTGCGCGTGGATGGGCGGATGAATGCGTGGAGAGAGATTGGAAGAGACCGAGTTATTGTGGGTGGTGAAAATTGTGAGGCTGCCCTGTCGAGGAAGGAGCAACTGCGAACTGCCAGATGGGAAGGTACGGCCCAGCACACCTCACACTGGGGTCAGGGCCGTGCGCTGCCTCTGCCTCTGCCCCGACCCCGACCCCAGAGAAAGTTGGAGAGAAGAATAGAGGAGAAGGTTTGAGAGAGGCAGCTTATCTTTATATACCCGCTCAGGACCCTGATCAGATGTCTTCCAGCCTCGTGCAGGGTCCTGAATCCCAACGCACGGAAGGGCAGTGGCTGTCCTTCTGATGCTCTCGTTGAGGCGGCAATTTCTCATGTAGAAGCTGCGGTTGAGTGTTGGGTTGAAGTTTGGGAAAGTGTGGCATGTGACATCACAGTATCTCAATACCATGGATGGTATCTTGCCGTGTGAAACGTCTAAGTCCTCACCGCCTACAGATGTAAACAAGGTCCTTGTTTGCTTAGACGTGACATAGAAAATAAATATCTTACTTACGTAGGTAGCTGAAGCTATTGTCCGGACGTATTTGTATAATTTTAAAGTTTACATTTGCGTCCGTACGATAGCTTCAGCTGCCCGTGAATGTCGAATTTGTGACCATTTGGTGGCATTCGTCGCCACTCGGTGACGACCGGTGGACCTGGATGCTATCACCTTACTCATGTGGATGTCTGTCCCCAGAAGCAAAGGGATTACGTCCGTATGTGCTGATAAGACGTGGGCGTAGTCATGAAGAAGCAATGACAAGCAACCGGCATTAACCAGATGAAGAAGTTACAGTGCCGAAAATACGGGTTGCGATAGACGTAACGTCGAATGATCCAATTGGTCGGTAGATGATATGTTCTCCTCCGTATGCGAGATTGAGCACCGACAGCTACCCATGTCAACGCCCCCACCGGCTACAGGTCGTGACGAGCATGAATGCCATGGACCCTGAGCATCTCGTTGCCCGTAGCATTGACCAAAGGCGGTGCCACACGTCGATGACGCGAAGCGCCGATCAGGCTGACCGTCCACATGATTGAAGATCGCTTCTCTGGATGAAACGGTTCTGCAGCGTCCGGTTGGGAAAAGGTCCGCTCTGCTTGCTTTGGCTCCATATCCCTGAGAGGACTATGACGAATCTCGCAGACGGTCATATCGGGATGGTCGAAAACCAGTGGGATGGTAGAGGAAAGTCACAGCTCTTACTTGCATATCCGGGTTTGAGACATGAGTAGAGACAAGACAATATGCTTACCTGTGCTGCGCTTGCACCACGGCAACCGCGCGCTTCGGGATACAATCCCAAGACACGATCAACCGACTCACACCACCAAGAGTCGAGAAGCAATCGTGTCGAATCAAATCTTAGCCTCAATGGCCAGATTCTCCGCCCAGCCCCGACCATCTCCATCTGTGCCCCACATCTAAAGCACCCCTCGGCTTCCAAGATTTCGAGCTCATGGTCACAAGGACAGCCGAATTCTCTGCCATCGACGTCGTGCGGACCGCAAAACAAGACTACACGTCGCGATCGGGGGAGAAACGAGGTTGAAAGTTGATCGGGCGATGGGAGGATTGCAACGACGAGAGCGCCGATCCCCCACTACCACCAGCTCCATTTGGCAGGAAGACAGGTGCAGGTTGATCAATGATGTCTGAATCATCCGACGCACAGGTCTCGAGACGGCGTTACGCGAACGTCGAGGCTGATGCTCGGTCGGGGCACAAGAGAGGCTGCGCTCGCTCCCCACACGCATTCATTCCCGACCCTGTGTCTCCTGGGCTCAGCTCTTTAGTCGCTCGGACCACGGTGGCGGCTCGGTGAACGCGTGGACAGGGACGGGCAGTGTTGTCCATGGGAGGAGGTCTTCATTTAGGCGAGGGGCATGCGTTGGACATCGCGCAGGCTAGGTCGGAAGGGGGAGGGGTCTTGAAGATCTTTCAGCTGGTTGACCATGGGGTTTTGCTGTCGGTCGGTGACGAGAGATGTCGAAGAGTGGGGAACACGGAAAGATCCAAGATCGACCGCAGCACAACCGGGCAGCAGGGCCAGCCACCGTCCCCACACTCGACCTCGCCTGCAGCCTTCATCAGACCTTCACAACCTGTTACTGCCACAACGACGGGGGCGATTCTCGCCAAAATCGCGCAGGACCACCGCCCCCCGTGCCAGAAAGTCTGCAAAAACACCACACTGCACTGACTAAATCGGAGACGGGGGCAATGTCCGTGACACCGAGCTGGCTGATCCCTGCTCCAAGTGCCGATGACGTCGTCCAGCCCGACGTGCCATGTTGATTGCCCTCAAGATTAGCAGCAACACGACACCTGCCTTAGTGCTCCGACACTAACGGCCGTCGTGAGAGTGATTGTGCAACAAAAAGAAGTCAATGCCAGCCTCGCAACCCAATGCGCTGCTGACTGCACTCCTGTCGATCTTATCATACGTGCTACCGCGTGAGAAATTGCCAAGCGAGCTGCTGGGAATGATGTCGGAGGCGCCGCCAACGAGTGGTTGCCGGTACCTCGAGCTGTGAGACCTCTCAATCGCGTGTCCGGATCAGGGATGCATCACTTCGCGTGGCAGTGCCCCTCGGCCCTCCGCGACCACTCGTCTCCCTCGGAAGCGCAGGATCGTCACATTTCGCACATAAAACGGCGTACCGCAAAAAGCAAAGGTGCACGCTCCTGCACCCGGCCGGCCCGTAGCCCTCCGGGGGGTGTAAGATTCCAAGCTTCTTGTACCCCAGGTAAGGGCCGATTCATTGCCCATTCCAGTAAACGGCCCGGCCGATGATGCGCAAGGCAACATGTGGGCTGCAATGGCAAGCAAACCATACTTCCAGGTCGTGTGCCCGCCTCCCCGGCCACCCAGCCGCACGTCCATTTCCTCCTTCACAATCCTACAAAGGTAGCACCTTGCCCCGTCATTCCCTCAGCTTTCCCTTTCCCTCCCTTTTTCCCACGCCCTCCCTCCCAGCTCGACCCTTGCCCCCCCAAGTGACGGACTGACATCATACCCTGAATACACCCGCAACCTCAAGGGAGTTGAGGCATGTATCCAGCGCCAGCCCTCTCTTCCGGACCTACTTCCGACCCATTGCCCTCGACATCCCGCCCAACTCACATGCCAAAGGATCAAGGGCAAACCTACTACAACCTGATCGGGTGGATTCGACCGGTTCGGCTTGCCTCGCCTGTACAGTAGTGCCTGACCTCTTGCATTCTGGCACGATACCGCTTTCCCTACCTCCACTCGCTGCTTTCCCTTGCCACATTTTATTCTTTTTACTTTTTCGATCCCCCTCCAAAATCCTCCTCTCGTCCCCCCCTCACTCCTACGTGCCTTTTCCCCTTGCCTTTTGGGCTCCTTGGTCATACGCCCCCCATCCACCAAGCCTCTTGATCTAATCTTCTAATACCCTGCGTCCCTTCCTTCTCCTCCACTCACGACACGTCTACCATTACGACAGTCACAAGCACATGTCTAAGTAAAGTCACGCAATTTTACTCCCCCCAATTGACGGACACATCCGCCAACATCCCTCGCAAATGTTCACACACGATTTCCATTTCGTCACTTTGTACCTTGTACAGAGAAAAAAAGAAGAAGACGAAGAAGAAAGTTCACACCAAACTGCTCAAACTTTTTCAAAGCCTTCACAACGCTTTCTTTTCTCTCGCTCTTCTTTCATATGCTTTTGCTTTTGCTTCTGTTCCCATTGCCCCCCTTCGTCTCAAACCACACTCCATCCCTCTCTCTTGTCCCTTCCCTCCCACTCCGTAAACTTTTCTTGCCCACCTTCGACCCAAGCCTTCCCAATCAACCATCAAAGTTGAGCAACTGAAAGGTAAGAAAGGGAGAAACGATCAGAGCAACACACCGCGGTAAAGACCGACTTTCCTTGCCGATGATGATGATGACGACGATGAGAAGAACGCACGCAGGCCATGCACGCCGAAAATGAGATCAACTGTGAGAAGAGGTAGGTCAGTACGGGGAAAAAAAGAAAGGAAGGACTTTCCATCGCCCCTTTGCGCACCCTTCAAGGATGGGCGAGGACTGGGGGAAAACAAGAAAATGCGCTGGAATATGTTGTTCATGTTTCATCTTCTTTCACCACCAACTTGCTCTCTCTCCTCCCCAAACACTGACAAAAGAGCATGGGGGAGAAGAAGAAACAGCAGCAGAAGAAAGACAAGCAATGCTCGCACGTCACAAAAAAAACCGACACAAGGGACAAGAACAGAAGAACAGGACAAGGACTGGCTACAAAATGCTACACCATCGTCTCCCCCACGATGGGGGAGAGCTCAGTTCTCCACCACCACCGACCAATCCTCTACCAGCGGCCGCCACCACCTCAGTCCGTCCATCATCACATCAACGCCTCGTCCCGCTCGAACCCAGTCGAACAAAAGCGAGAAACATTGGGAAAATGTGTTGGAGCGCGTTTCAAAAAAAAAGGAAAAAGCAAAAGGATGGACGATGAACCCTCCTCCCTAATCCGCCAATAAAAAAGCAATGACACACACACAAGAGTTATAGGTATTCCATTTCTCCCCCCACACACACCCTCCTCGCTCGACGCGAAAATCCCTCCGCAGGCTTGGGGTTTTCTCTTTTTCGCCACCACCGCCGTACGTCCGTACACGATGATGGCGAAAACGAAAAAACAATCAACCAAACAAAATCCCCCAACAGAAAAAAAAAATAAGGATCAATGCGAAACCGCTTCTCTCCACCTTTAACCTCGAAGGCCACGGTTGTCCAGACGTTTTCATTCCTTTCGCCACCCACTAGCCCCTTTCCCGTATCGATTCCGATTGATAAAAAGTATCAACGCCGTCGCCACCCACCCGTTATCGAAAAAGGATTCCCAACCCGGACCGATTTGCAAAGGCCCCCGAGCCAACAATCTCTTTCTGTACGAATGATGAGGCGACGAATCGGAAGAAGGGAAAGAAAGAGGTGAGGAGAAGCAAGGGAGAAAAGCGCGCGAACAAGAGAGCCATCTCTTCGGTGCTGAAGAGTTCCGGGCATTGATGAGCCTGCGAAGGAACTTTTTGGGTTCGCGGAGCTTAAAAAAAAGGGGAGGGGGGAAGGTTTCGTTTGTTTAAGATTGGAAACGAAACGTGTAAGAAAAAGGTGACGGAGAAAAAAAGATAAGGAAAAATGTCGTAGACGGGTCTGGTTGGATGGATTTTTTTTTTCTTTATTTCAAGACGATAACACAAAAAATTGGTGCGCAGGTTTCCGCGACAAAACGTTCTGGACCAGATGGGATCGCCGATTTCGTTTATTTGAGTTGTGTGGGAGAAAATTCCACGTAGCTCCCCCCCTCCTCCTTCCCCGATTCGAAAACGCGCAAGAAAGGAATTTCTTGTTATTCCTCCATCCGGCCAAACATGCCTTCATCATCCTCGTCGCTGCGACCGCGCGAACGCTGCTGCCTCTCGTAATAATCGTCGTCGTCCTCCATGTCGACATCTTCGTCGACGTTGTGGCCGTGGCGCGATGTGTATGATGAACGCATCGACGCGGCGTATTCTTGTTGGCCCGGTGGTGTAGCAATCGTCCCCGGGCGGGAATCGACGCTGTTGGCGAACCGTGCCGGCAGCGGAGGGACCGGCGGCACGTCTGGGGGCAGCATGACGGGCTTGCTGTGGGGGGTGCCGTAGCTGCAGCTTAAAAGACCGACGGCGGCGGCCAGATCGGCCTGGTCCTCGTCCTCGTATGCGGTGACCGAGGTGCCCGACGTGGTCGGGCGGCCGTCGTAACTTTGCTGCCTGTAAAAGTTGATGGATCCGTTGGGAGCGCTTTCGGAGAAGACGGATTGGTTGGACTGATAGGATTGTGAGTAGGCGCTGCTGTTGCTGGAGAAGCGCTTGTTGGGGAAACGGCCGCCGGTATAGGAGCCGATGGGTACGTCGTCGTGGGGCGGAGGCGTGGTTTCTGCAGAGCTCATGCCATCATCACGGTAGTCTGACGAGCCGGACCCTGCAGGGGAAGCCGACGAGTGGTCACTCTCGGCGGCCTTTGCGGCTTCGGCGGCGGCGGCCTCTTGGTTCATGTTGACCAGCACCGAGGCGGCCTCAAGTAGTTGAACTTGTTGATGCTTTGAGATGAGCAGCTTCGAGGTGATTGCCCATTCGGGAGTGTGTTCCCATCTGCAGAGAAGGTCAACATTTCGATCTCACGACATCACACCAGGGCGAGCTGGAAGGGCATTCGAACTCCGGCGTGTGAAGGTATGCGGGCTCGTCCAGCAGGGGATACTGACAGGTGCTTTGTGAGACAGCTGCTGTGCTTGTACCCTTTCCCACATTTTTCACATCGAAGTTCGCTACCACTTGCTCGCTTGCCGCCCTCCTTGGACACGCGCGAGCCCTCGCTGGCCCGCCGTATCCGCGACTTGGTGGAGGCCTTCTCCGAGTCCGGGATCGAGGCCAGCGGCGGGCCGTCGGTCACCACGCTACCCCGGCCGTAGCTGGACGGGCCCTGGAAGCCCGAACCATTGTTCGGAAGGCTGCTCGGCATCGACGGATAGCCGGTCAGGGCTTGGGGGCCACGGGGGGCGAAGTGGGCTTTGGAGGTGCGGCGCGGAGCGTTGTCGCCCATGGCGGCGGCATTGCTGGCGGCGGTGGTGGAGACGCTTTTCCGGCGCGAGACGCGATGGGCGGGGTTGAGCGAGCTGGATAGCGAGTTTGAGTTGCCGCGCGAGTGCGAATGCGAGTGTCGCGACGGCAGGCTGGAGGCGACTTGACCGACAGACGAGCGGTTGGATGGTCGCGATATTTCCTGGTCGGAGAGTCAGCGGTGCTATCTCGCCGGGAGCGGGGGCCGATCAGGAGACGTACCCTGGTGGCCGTCATGGTGCTTCGCTCGCCGTCCGATCTCGCAGGGGGAGTGAAATTGGGGGAGAGGGATTGTTTTGCAGTTGTGAGGAGGAATGTGAGGTGCGAGGCGGAGTCGAGACAATTGTTGGTTGATGGCCCAGGAGGCGTGCGATTAGGAGCGTGTCGTCCGTGCAAGCGGACCTTGAAAGGAAGCTGAGCGGGCGGGCCAAAAATTATGGAGATGCACTACAATGAAAGCGCCCCCGCACACAGTGCTGACGGTGCGACTTGCGAGCAGGCTAACGCGGCCGGGGTATGCGATGAAAAAAAAGTCGCTGGGCTCGAGGGCGGGCGGGTGTCAGGTAATCAATCAGCTGGACGGGCGTATGGCGCCAGGCAGGGCCCGCTGAACGTGACCAAGGCAGCGATAGGTACTGCGGCCACCGGCGGCTGATGGCTCCAATGGCGCAACGAGGGGGATAGCGTGCTGCTATTCGGGGCTCACGGTCGATAGCGCGCTCTGGTCGCCGCTGCGCCCGAGCTGGCCTATGCTGCTGATGGCAGGAATGGGGGCGCATCTCTCTCTCTTCTCACAATTTTTGCACGAGACCCTTACGCTCGCGGCCGCGCGTTCCTGAGCCCTGGTGGCCATCAGCCGCTACTGCGTTCTGGATGGCTGCTTCAGGCTTGGCCTCCTCCGCACTGGTGATCCACGGGGCCGAGATCATCCCCCCTCTCAAGCCGCGATATTGGCTGCTCGCTTCGCATGTTTTCACAGCAGCGCGATCGGCCGCAGCGCCAGCAACGGCTGCGCTGATCGCCCGTCGCGGAACCGGTGCCCTGTGCTGCCAACTCTGTGGTTGAGGTGTGCTGTCGTCCGGTCTGCTGCGCCTGTCATGTGCTGGCTAGCCCAGCCACCAGGCTGCGGGAATGCCGACACCTTCGTCATATCCCCACACTCGTGCCAGGCACTCGACCCCCGCCAAAAAAGTTTCGAGTGAGAAAAAGCCCTCAGCACCGGCTGCCAGCGCAGCGCGCGCCCCAAGCCCCCAGGCCCAGCAGCGGCCCGCCGTTGGCTTCGGCGCAGGTACGAGCCGCCGCGCGCGCTGCGATTGGCACCGCGATACGTGTACCTGTCAACTGTATCCCCACATTTTCTGGGAGGAGACCATTCCGTGGCATCATCACCGGCGAGCAGCCTAGACTCTTTTGCGGAACTGGCGGGCCCTGCGGAGCCGGGAACCCCAGTGCTCGGCTGCTGGCTAATTCTGCGACACGCTGCTGAGACACCCGAAAAAGCAAGCGCCGCGATCGCATCGAGATCTTGACAGGAAGGCATTCGCGGAAAATAAGGTGCGCGTATAAACGAGACATGCACAACTTCGTCAAGTGAGGTGACGGGTGCCCAGCGTTATGCACACCACTGCTTGTTGCTCTCGTCAGCGCCGCGCTTGGCACCTTGATGGAGTCCGCCGGCCGCGGCCACGAGTTCGCGATAAGATAATCGCCCGCTTACCTAACATCCGCACGTGATCCCAACACTCCACGAATCCGGAGGCGTCATCGCCAAGTGCCTCAGCGCCGCCGCAGACGGCTATCCAGGTGTACCTCCAGCAGCTGCCCAACGTTTGCTTTTCCCGCGCGCGTTGCCTCGCCTACACGTCGTCCATACCGGTCAGCCTGATCCGAGCGCGTTATCCACCGGCCCCGTTCACCGCCTGTGCTGAGCGCGCAACCGCACCTATCTCCGCCAACTCCATCCAGCCATTCCAGCCCGCGTTTATCCTATACACCGCGCACGGCAATCACCCAAATGGCCGATTCAGGAGCAGCCGCGGCCCCCAAGCCCAGTAGCAGCGTGAAGCTGGTTCTGCTTGGCGAGGCTGCCGTCGGAAAAGTACGCCTCCTGCAAACTCCGTGATAACGCCATCCGCGGCACAATATTCAGCATGCTGACGCCTGCCTCGCCTGTAGTCGTCCTTGGTTATGCGCTTCGTCAACAATGACTTCCAAGAGAACAAGGAGCCCACCATAGGAGGTCCGCCGCCCTCCGCCTGCAATGTCTTCCCATAGACTGACCCCCCCGTGCAGCCGCTTTCCTGACCCAAAAATGCAACCTCCCCACCCGCACCATCAAGTTCGAGATCTGGGATACCGCCGGCCAAGAACGCTTCGCTAGTCTCGCCCCCATGTACTACCGTAACGCCCAGGCCGCCCTCGTCGTCTACGATATCACCAAAGCCTCCAGCTTGACCAAGGCCCAGCACTGGGTTGCCGAGCTCCAGCGCCAGGCCAGCCCTGGCATCGTCATTGCCCTCGTCGGAAACAAGGCAGATCTGGTGGAGGCTGACAGTGGGGCTGCGGATGCGGAGGAGATCACTTCCCCTGTCACCCCGGAGGCTCCGACCGAGTCGGCGGATGGTACTGCTGCTGCTGCGGAGGGTGGTGCCACGGAGGAGGGCGGTGAGGCTGGTGCCGAAGGTGCTGCTGCTGCCACCGAAGGAGCCGCCGCCCCCGCTGCCGCCCCAGCCGCGGCGGCGGAGGACGACGACAACGACAGCGATGCGCGCAAGGTCGCCACCAAGACAGCCAAGTCCTACGCCGACGAGGAGAGCCTGCTCTTCTTCGAGACCTCGGCGAAGACGGGCCAGAACGTCGCCGAGGTTTTCACCGCCATCGCCAACGCCATCCCGGAAACCAGCCTGAAGGGTCCCCGCGGCGTCGGCGGCCAGACCAGCTTAAACAGGGGAGACGATGCGCGGGTGAACTTGAACAGCGCGCGGGATGCTCAGGGCCCCAAGGATGGGTGCGCTTGCTGAAGCTGAAGCGGGACGAATTGATATGGGTATACGAGATTAGGAGTAGTCCGGATAGACAAAGGGGTGGAAATAGTGATTACCTCATACAGATACGGCATGACGAAGGCTTTTACGATTGGAACAACCCACACTGATGTTCTCCTTCTCTCTTCTCTCTCCCCTTCTACCTTTTTCCCCCCTGGCTCCACGGCCGTGTAAATGCTTTTCCTTTGCAATGTTTGAAGGCATTGAGTTGGAGGCAACACAATCAATTGTATCTCTATGCTTGTGTGGACTTGGAAATGTATTGGGGGTTCCATTGAGAAATTAGTGCTTTATTATCTGCATTTTGTCTTTTCACTCTCCCGTTGCCAGATTGATGTTTGAAGAAACGCTGCTGATCATGCCAGAACCTTGTTTACGCCTATAGGAGATAGCAACATAGATGCGCCTAAATACAGATGGTCTGATCAACCACAAAATCAACAAGCTGGACCCACTTACTAATATTGCAACAAAGTCGGGTAGTTGAAGCTCTTGTCCGGATGCATTTGTTCATATATATATCGAACATTTACGTCCGGACAAGAGCTTCAACTACCCGACTTTGTTGCAATATTAGTGGAACCGACCTTGTGAATGAGCGGCAAGGTACTTTGTGTTACAAAGCGAGTACTTTGGGCTCGCATGTAAATTTTGTGCAAAACACTGAGGTGCACCTTCCAGATGTCTTTGACGCTCCTGCCAAATCCCTCATGCGCCTTCCGTATCCTTCCCAAATCAAGCGCACGGGCGCCTCATACCCTTTCCGCGCCCGTTTCACGAGGTATTTTCTCGCCCTATGAGCAGACCTTACAGCGCTTTCGCACGAGGTATCCATTCTCTTTGGCATTCGTTACAACATACATAAAACTTCTCGCTCCAACGCTCCTTCCTCAACACAAGTTTCACCCCAGCACATCTTCATATCCGCCGCCACCGTCATGTCAAACGGCACCAGACTTTTATCCGTGGAAGACTGCCTGAAAGGTATGTCAGCCATGAGAGAAAGGCTTGAACACACAGCCAAGGAAGAAGACATGGAGCTCGATGTCCGAAAGCTCCACAGTGACTTTCGCGATCTCCTTGGTGCCACCCTTGGCACTGCGCGCACCACCGGTCCCGGTTTGGGCAAAATCAGGCGAGACAAAACCTTCGAATATTTCCGAGCGTTAGACCAGGAGATGGCAAATAGAGGAAGAGAAGTGGAAGAAGATGTTGGGGAGGAGAATGAGAGGTCAGACTCATACTCATTGCCTGACCTCACAAAGCAACAGCGTCGCTTGCTTGTCAATCTTCCTGCCGATTTCATGGTCGTCAATGATGACTGGAGATACAAAGTTCATGAGTACTTCGGAGACGAATTCAGCCAGCGCATCGTACGTGTCCCAAGTAGTCTTGTTCTGGATCACCGCTAATATCTGCGATTTCACAGCTCGATCTTCAGAACGTCCCTCCCACAACCAGCGTCCCAAGCTTGAAGACTCAGCTAAAGCCCTGGCAAGCTACTGGTGCTGCCAAGATCAACTTCTGCTGCAACGGACCGGAGCGTGGCTGCATCTTGGGAGATGGAATGGGCCTCGGAAGGACCTTGACCTCACTCGCATCCTGTGCACTGAACGAAAAAGAAGGAGAGCCCTACACCGGGTTCAATCTTATCTTGACAACGAGCACGTGCCTTAATCAATGGAAGAGCGAAGTGTCACTCAACTTCGGCAAGGTAAGATACCACGTCCGGAGACCATTCGAGATAATCTTGCTTACAAAGTTACCAGAAGAAGACCATCATCCTCACCGATCACAGCATGGGTGCAATGCAGCTCTTGGAGCAGCGTCCTGTGTTCGTCATCACCACGTATCAGTTCGTTGTTGATCAACTCCGCAGGCGCAATGCGCACCTTGGCTATCGCGAACTTATCCTAAGGAGGGGCAAAGCAGCAGCCGACAATATCGTGACCATGAACCACATCCGCCAACTGCCTACACTATCCCTGTTCTCTGACATATACCGATACCTAACTGGCTACATGGGAATCAAACGTTTGATTGTGGACAGGGCTCAGAACGTCAAGAACCTGAGCAGCCAGATTCACCAGGCTATCAAAGAACTTCGTTATGAGTCGATAATTCTCATCTCTGACACCTTCATTGCGAACAGATGGGACGAAATCTACGGGTTGATCGATCTGATGCCCTGCAAGCCTTTCCCGTCCGTTCACCACTTCCACCATGTTTTCAGCGCCAAGGGCGGGACTGAAATCGCCCGCTTCCCTGACCTTCAGCGCAAGGACGTACTGATTAAGTATTTGATGTCTTTCACCATTGCGCGTCCCGCTTCTCTGTTGCAACTTCCCAACGCGAAGAAGGAGAACATCAGGGCTACCGACGAAGGCTTCTTCGCTGCTCTCCGCTATCAAGATGACCAGGCGCCGAAGATTCCTCACATCGACGTCATCTACTGGGTTATTGCGGGACTGGAAGGGCAGAGTACTTGAATGGGGAAGGATGATAGTGGATCTTAGCATGCATCGCTTATGCCACAGCTCGAGGCAGGGTTAAAAAATGAAGACAAAGTTAATATGAGTAAAGTGCACATAGTGGGGGGAGCTGAAGCTCATGTTCGGACGCAAGTGCTCAATTTAAAAAGCAACATCCGCGTCCGGACAGGAGCTCCAGCTACCCATCATATGTTTTCTTTTTTGTTTTTTTTCTCGAGGAATTCCAAATCGTATGAGTATTGGGTGGTTGTTTTTAGCGTAGACCAAAATGATGGATCGACCTTACCAGAGTCTGCATCTTTTCGCTACCACGTGCCCTGATAAGCCAGATTCCAAAAATTTCTGCCCTGAACAAATGCACAGCAAAGATTTCTAGCCGCTAGAGAAAGGACCAGGACGACTCCGACGCAGACACTCAGGACGTCCCGGCTGACAACAAGAAGCGAAAGAAGGACGCAGCATCTTCAAGCCCGCCACCGCCAAGCGATACTCCGTGCGTATGCCGCCTGGGACTCGCCCTCTCTTCGCCAAGGATGATGGAGAGCAAAATGGCCGAGACGAAGAGGAAAAAGAAGACGGCCAGATCCAGGAATCGTTAGCCACAGAGAAACCCAAAGACGAAAATTTCCCCACCGGCGACAAAAATCACCCTACTCCCCCCAAGCTCACCACCTCGCAGTCCTCCACCACACAACAAACCACAGCAACAACCAGTCAGCAGCCGGTCATCAAAATGAGCTTCACGGCAGTTTTGCAGGGAATTTGTTGCCTGCGCCTTTCCTTCCTCTCCTGCTCCTCCTCACACAAAATCAAATGCACAACAACTCGACAAGATATGGTACCAGAGACCATAACTGTGCCTGATGATTTACCATGGCCATATGGGCCAGATCTTTTGTGAGAAAAGCAAGTACAACAAGTGGAGAGTTTTTGGTTTTTTTTTTTTTTTCTCACAGCCGATGGGGCACTAAAAGCCCGCCGCCGCCAAAGCCAACAAGACTCATGCCCGATATTGTAATGGATTGGCGTTGCATTGCCTCTATCAACTAGTAGCTGCGATGCCGGATTCACCGCAAAGGAGTATAGTGCCAGCGTTGATTTCGTCCGTGACACGGCCACCGGCTTTAAGGATGATGGTGCGCAAGCTATCTCTGCCTTTGACTCCTTTTGTTTGGCCAGCATGGCAGAAGCCGTAGCTGAGAATCTCCGTACCGAGCCAACGTTTTGATTCGAGCTCGTCGTGAAACTCTTCTCGCTTGACGGCTTTGTCGACATTTCCCACGCGAGACCGTCGCGAATTCGAGAGCGGCGAGAGTGCTGCAGCACCTCACAGATAAAGAAAACAGGATGATCCAAGATTTAAGTGGCGGCAATCTCGAGATTAATGGCCTCCATGAAGACTGAATTAGATTCTCCTAGGCTCTGACAGCGGAGGCCGTGATGAAATTGTGATTGAAATTAGGCGTTTGCTTTCGGAAGAGAAACCTTGAAGCGAGGTATTAGCTTTAGCCATGGATCGAAGGACGACATGCATCATTCATAGCTGGAATATGTAAAGTATTCATCTCTCACAAGTAGAAGACGGAAACTGAGGGATCTCTCTTTCGGAAGCTTCTTCTTCTACCTCCTTAGCTTCGGTCAGAAGCACTCCCTCTGGCACACAGCGTTGCAAGCAGGCTTCTCTGCGCATCCCTACTTTGGTGACGATGAGGCTATCGTCGCCACGGCATTGGCACTGGATGTCGATCAAACATTACCGCGCTATCTCTGGCTTTCATTCACTGCCGACACCGGCACACGGCTCTCACTCATCCCATATCTCAACCAAAAGTTTAACATCGTCATCAAGGATAGCAACGGTCTCACTCGCTTGGCGACCGTAACTTGGGTGTGTACAATCTTGGCAGAGCCGGAGAGTCCTAATCCCATTATACTCGGTTTATCTCGCCCCTTGGCTCTGGAAGTCCCCGGAGAATACCTCAACAGGAGCCTTCTCCATGCTGTATGGAACTACGCTACAGATTAATTACCACCAGACAGTCTCCTCAACCATACGTTCAACGAGCCTGATGTCAGAAACACTAGAACCTCGTCATCGCCATCATGGTCGCTGTTGTCGGCAGCGGCAGCGAGAGCAGGTACGGCCGCGGCTATGGCGGTTTGAGGAGCTGGCGAGCATGTCACATCAGGCAAAAGAGGAACACGTAAAGAGCCAACTTGAAAACTGTACGTTAGGGGTGGACTTGAAGCTAATATCCGGACGTATTTGTATAATTTGAAATTCTACATTTACGTCCGGACGTTAGCCTCAACTGCCCAAAAATGTCCAATTTTCTCTTCACATTTCCCTGAGAATGCAGCACGGAGAACTGGATAGCTAAAGAGTGAGTTTACCATGCAGATATGCTGCGGAATTAGATTACATTATTATTTACGCATATTTACATGCAACTCCAAGTGGTAACGTCCATGTAAACACTATCCCACACCCTGTACGGATGCAAACAAGGACCTTGTTTACACCCGTAGCAGCAAAAACCCGAGAACGCCTTTGATCCTGCATCACTTCGTCCCACCTCGGATGCTTTATCCAACCTCAGATGTTGACATCCATAAAAAAACCGTCCAAGTCCGTGCATCATGCGGGTGTAACCAAGATCCTTGTTTGACTTGATAGCGGTGAAGAGTCCCGGATGTTATTCCGGAGAACCGTTGACACCTCCTGCATTGCTCCTCTCATCCCGACCGTCACCATTCTGGCCGCTGTTGGCACACACACAACTCAGCAAAGTCTGCAATATTGGGAATTCGGGGAACAGGGGGGAGGAGGTTGGGGGTTACTGACTGCAGCACGCGTCTGACATCCGCCCTGACCGCTCGACCGGAGGCAAGCGACTTGTAGGCGGCAATGAGGAGGATGCGAGGGGGTCCGTTATGCGGCAGCATGGTTGCAAATGAGACGAAAAGCAGCAGCAGCAGCACCTTCTCAAAATTGATAGTTATTTTTTGCTTTTTTTTCTTCCTTCTCGTGTGTCCGTCCCAGCCGGGAGGAAGCGGGTATAATATAGTACAAGTTGCAGCAACAGCAGCAGCAGCCGATCAACCCTACCCCAACGGGGAGAATCCGAAAAAAACCCTTCTGCCTGCTCTCACATGCAATGCGGCAAGGGACCTCCCCGTGGAGTTGCGTCCATTCTCAGATGATGGGTGGGGGAGGTCGTAACTCCGTGGCAGTGCGGGATCAGGTCAGATCACGCTCAATCCCTCCCCTCTCTTCTCGTGCAACCGCGTTTTGCTTTTCGATCCCCATCCCCCGACAATTGCCGGGGGAATCGGACGATAATGCCCCCGGCACTTCGCGGGTCAATTCCTGCCGGGTGAGAAGATGCGTTGAGAAAGGCTCGAAACTGGTGTGATTATGACAACAGGGCGCTGGTACGAAATTGGGGGGGAAACGCGGCTGTTGAGGCTGGAGGCTGGCGTTATGTCGTGATGTGAGGTGACTATACTGATGAGAAGGGAAAAGGAGGTGCGAAGCTATGTTGAGATGGCTACCGGTGCTCGTCTTCATGTTTATTGCTTCGGAAAATGCAGAATCTCAAAGTGAGGCTAGACTCTCGGTTGCGTCGAGCTGTGGTGGTTCGGATGGGCTGATGATGGTGGTGGCTTTTGGCGAAAAGTTGTGGCCGCATTCAATCTTCAGAAACTGACCAAAGCACGGTGGTTGGCAAGAGAATTGGACTTTCCTGAAACTTGCTTACAAGAAAAAAAACAAGCAACCTGCTCGCATGGGCAGTTTGATGCAATATCCGGATGCATTTGTTCAACTTCAAAACTCACATTAACCCCCGGGTATTTGCTTTAGCTGCCCCAGAAAGATCGTATTTTCTGCAATCCACCGTGGCATCTCCAGGGATCGGTGTGGCAGTAGATTTCCGATATGCAGCGCGTCATCGCGGAAACAACTCATTGTAGTACGGAAAAAGCAGCTTGGCCATGCACGCTGCCACGTCCAAACCGGCAGAAACTGCAACCAAACGGTTAGGCGCTCCTCGTCAACCCCGCTCTTCAAGGATAATTGCTCCGGGTTCAAGGAAAAGAGACGTTGGAAGGATCCTTGTCGCAGCAAGCGCCAGCCTGCTGATTGAGCCACGTCTGTTGCTTTTTCCAGAACAAACAATCAAACTTTATTGAATTGCCGATGACTCACCACACAACAAGGGGAGGCGCATTATCGTGGGGGAGGGAGGGGGCAGAGAAAGCTGAATGCCCTCCCCTTTGGAAGCTTTTCTTCTCGTCAGAAAAAAAGGTTGCGCGCGCTGCATACTATAATCCTTACCACACGTGTAAAGCATGCTGATCATGCGGAGGGATCACCGCACCGAGTGCCTCAGATTCACCATCCCTTCATATACACCCGCGCCCGACATCCGACTGCCCTCAGATAGAGAGCGACACCCGATCGTTGCCGCGCGTTGCCGAATCCGAACCCTATCGTCATGAACCCTGGTGATCGGGAAACTCACTCTCCCCCATGGACCCTTGGTCGTTTACCGCAAGGGGAAAAGGATCACCCATGTATCCCGAACTTTTGATTTACACGGTGCCTAATTAGAAGGATGCGATTGAACGGCAGGCCTGAAACGTCGTCGGCATCAGAAACACGTGAGGGGTTGGAATCTCGCAATTTCTTTTGCTTATTGGACCGACAATTCCAACACGCTATGCCGGTGATTCTACAAGAAAGCGCTAGTGTGAAAGCGGGACGTCTATGAAGGTGGTATTTTGCGATTATCGGTGGCGTAGTACGAGAAAGACGTCAGCCAAGCAAACCGTGTGTGTCCGAGTGGTGTCCCAAGCTTCTCTACTCTTCAGCCCAATGTCCAGCCCCTTGAACCACCACTATTAGACGCCAGGCATGCCGATGACCGCACGGTACGCCGGAACGCCACGCGGGAGGAAGTAGATTAGCCAGATGGCAGAGAAGGCGACTAGCAGCCCGGTAAACTTCTCGAACCAGGTATGGAAGAATGCGGCTGTCATTAAGAGCATCCACCAGCTGAGCGCCATGACCCCCAGTGACACTTTGACCCCGAGGCCAGGGTCCTTCTCGTCTGCGGCTGCGCTGTACGCATGGCTCTCGCGCTGGGCCTCAGCGCCCGCCGTGCGTGTCTTGCCGTCGCCCATGACGATCCTACGGCCGTCGCGCAGACCTTCGGCGCGCAGCACGGCAGGCAAGATCTCCAGCCAGAGAAGAAGGCTGCCCAAGATCAGCAGGAAGACATGCCCGCTGATGTCATGGCCCCCTTTCCACACGCCACCGGCGACCTTGCACGTCACGGCCGTGATGTACTCGCGAGTGTCAGACATGGCCTCGCGTGCGCTCGGGTCGCGCACCAGCTCGCACTGGCCGCCGGTGAAGCGGAAGAGCATGTCGATGAGTGGCGGGCCGAAGAACCACTGCGTTACGAAGACCCAGGCGAGCGTGACCAGTGCCCAGCGCAGCACACCGCGCGCCCTTCGCGGCGTGAGGACGGGCCGCATCGGCGGGCCCAGGCTCGGGTGTGTTAGCAGGAACAGGAACAGCGCGCCCGTCGTCCAGGCCCAGCCCTTCTTGACAAAGTAGACATTGAATATGTTCTTCTTCTGCGCAAAGTACGAGGGTGCCTGGTCGACAGGGTGCGATTGCGTCGTGGCGCTGTAGGGTGTGTTGCGCGTCGTCGGCGAGACGATAGAGAAGACGGAACCGAGCACCAGAGTGGCGGGATAGATCGACAGGAGGAGGAGCTCGAGGCGTGTGGGCAGGAAAGGCGAGCGCCGTGCTAGAGATGTGCGGTGAGGGCTTGTGCTGTCGTTCTCCATAGTGGCGGCGGTCGGAGGCTCGTTGTAGCTGTCGGAGCTGCGGGACGGCTTCCGTCGAGCAGACATGGCTGGGTGGCGTAGGTGTTGGAGGGGAGACAGAGTCAACGAGGTGCTGCTGCCATTGTCAACTCGACTTCTTTCAGAGATGACGTCGCACGTCTCGCGGTCACGTGGAGGCGACGCGCCGCACGTGAGCGCGGCCGTCTGCACGAAATCTCAACTCATCATCCATTGTCAACGCTGCAAGGCGTGCAAAGTCGAAACAGACGTGTCTTCTTGATAAACTCGTCGATGCAGCTCTGTCTGACGCTCAAATTGGCAGGAGACGGGTGAAATATCAAATCGTCTTCCTCACACACTCGCGTCTCGAGTTAAACGATGGTTGCGTCCTCCAGCTAGAGGTTTAACGTCAAACCCAAAAAGAGTTGGGTGTCCGCCCTACGAGGACGGGATGCCGCTGCTTACCCCTGAGGGTTGCATCGAAAATCCTCCCCAGCCTTCCAGAAGGCGGATCCTTAGCCGGCCACGCGAAAGACTGGAATCAAGCCACGGCGCCCGACACGGCACACGCCCGCCCGCCCCTTGATCCAGCGCCGCGGAAGCTAGGCTTAATCGCAGAGAGGCAGAGGGCTCTCGATCCCCTGACTAAGGCGTTCGCTGCCGCTGCGACGCGGCACGAAGTCTACCCCAGACCGGGCGGACCTCATTGGGCCGGGTTGGCGGGCTTCTGGAAGGCGGCGGGCGGGCCATGGAAGCTGTGGATAAGGGGCGATGGCGACGGTAGTATAAAGCCGTGGAAGGCCCGATAGAGCAGCTCGCTGCAGGTACGCTCGACCCCATCCCGCTCGCGCCGCTGAGCGTTCTTATCTGAAGAACGCAAACACCACCAACACGACCGCCCACCCGCCTGGAACAGGGCGTTGACAGCACCTGTAAGGCTGCGCTTCGTCAAGCACGTACCCGACTCAGAGCCTCTGCTGGCCCAAGCCGCCGCCTCCAACAAGCCACGTCAACCACTTTGCTGAGCCGCTTTGTTCTCTGGGCCTTCTGGAAGCCGCGGCTGGGAGACGCCGCGCTCAGTGCTGATGTGGCTCGAGCGGCGGTACGCCGCAAAAGTTTCGGGCCTAAGCCATGGGCGGGAAATCATCTGTTGGCCTTTCGGGCATGGAGACCGGATCCTGCGCGCTGGGAGAGCGAGATGGTCGGGTAATCCCACTGTCGGTGGGTGCCTGCGGGAAGTGGAGACCTTCGCCGCTAGGGCGCAAGCGCTGATGTCCCTGCAGTAGTTCCAGGCTGCCCAGGCAGTCCATCGAGCTTACTCAGATAATGTCGCCGATAAGGTGAATCCTTGGTGAAAAGCAAAAGTCTGGTGACAATCGCCTAGTAGGAGAATGTAGTCGAGTGCGGGTGAAGATGGCGGCAATAAGCTTACGAACGCGGAACGCTTGTTGCGGAGCCGGCGGCAGGGATGGCGTTCACTTCGCCATGGTCGACGACAAACACTTTCGTAATTGCCTCTGCCTTAATATTGCACCAATCATCTCGGACACGAGTCTTGTGCGAGCAAACGGTCGTACGTTCAATACTTTTGTTGGGCATCTCAACGGCACCGAAGAAGCTGTGTTTGATAGCACGTCTTTGTCACACAGGCTCAGGAAGTCAGCTGTCGTTCCCTCACCAACGGGTGGCGCCTGGGGAACACAGCAGCTGGACGCACAGTTTCGAGATTCCAGATCCTGCTGCTACCCAAGAGCCAGATGCCTGGACAGCCGCATTGGGCGATCGATGATGAAAGGCAGCAGATGAACATGGGCTGGATTGGGAAAAGGAGCATCAGGATTGCTGGCCTGGTAAAAAAAATTTTGCTCACCGAGCTTTGAGTCGCTCAGCCTTGTGCGACGACGTCCCGCAAGCCGGGCGATTGGATCCCGTGAGCCCCGAGAGGGAGGGACAGCGATTGACCTTGCGCAGCGCCAGTCGTTCCCGGACAAGCTGAGGTCTGAGCGGGCGGAATGCGAGATGGACCATATGGCGATCGCCGCAACGGCGGAAAATTCTCGAACAAGGCGGGCTCGCTAGCAATCTCTGGCCGCTCGGCCGGGCCGCGACGGGCATGCCCATCGCCAAAGGGTCCAGCGGAGAGGCGAGCATCAGTGTTGCTGCCCGGGGGGATGATCAAACAGGCAGCAAATGAGCGCCATCGTCAGCCAACGGTGCCGCATCCAGCGCGATCGCCGTGATCGCCAGGGGGATCCCAGAGGCGGGCTGGGCTTGGGATGAAGAAGCCAAATGACGGACTGGCGCGTGAAACGTTGCTCCCAGAGGCCAAGGCCGGGCCGTCGTTTCCCCTGCGCAGCCTGCGCAGCTGCGACGCGTAGGCGCCCGAGTGGCTCGCTGGACCTGGTGCGTGGTCTCGCGAGCGTCGATTTGGGGAGGCTGAACATGGGATGGAATCTGTAACGGTGTCGGCGCATATGCAAGACGCCTCCTTTTCGCAGGGCAGCGGCCCACTGCCACGTGCGGCCGGGATGCGACGTCCTGCACAGCTGATCGCATCCACCCATCCCTGTGTTCGCTTCCGCCGGCTTGGAAGAGCCGATGCAGCAACCTTGGAGCTAACGAAGCCTCGCAACGTTCTCCCGCGCTTCCGGCCATCCCCGCAAGCGCAGCAGGGCCGGCGCGGCTGGGCCAGCTTTTGTTTTTTTGTTTTTCTGGCCGCTGGATGTGACAGCGCGATGCCGCGGGGACGGCGACTCGTCCAGACGCCAGCCACCACGCGTTGGCGCGCGGCGCTTGACGTACGCTATCCGAGGCGACTGGTCGTCTGCTCTTGCGGCCGTTGGCGCTCGCGAGACGCTCGCAAACGAAGAGGCGACGGCGATTAGGTTGGCGGGCGCGGTGCAAGCCGCAGTCTATTCGCGACTCGGTCGCGTCTCAGGTTGGCCCCTATTAGGTATCGTCATACCCCAACGGCTGCCCGTTTGGCGAGCAGTTCATCGAACCAGAGCAGCGGGCAGGGCGCCGCAGAGCGGCCGATTCCTGGGGAAGAAGCGAGAGGGCGAGAAATCGCGCGCGGGCTGTCTGTGCCTCAGCAGTCTTTTGCCGACGGGCGATTATGACCGGTCAATAAGTTCAAGACAGTCAGTTTTGGGACTTGGGTGCGTGCGACCCGGTCCAGCGCCCCCGTCCTTGCAGAACAAAGGCGCGGAAGGATAGGCGCAGCTTCCAGCGCGGAAGGCTTGCAGGCGCATCCGGCAGATGCGACGTGTTCGAGCGATCAAAAGGCAGATCCGTCGTCACACAGGCAGCGCAAACCGGGTCCGCATTGCTTTTGGAGGCGCCGGAAATGTGTGCGTTCGCAGTTAGAGTGGCGTGCGCGCAAGGGGACGGGCGTTGGGTGTAGGCGATCAAACGGAGACGTGCGTCCTTCGAGAGGGCTTCCAGAAGGCCGGCGGCAGTGATTGGATGTGCCGCTCAGGCCTCGGCTGCGCCGTGCAGCGCCGCTCCGGGCCTCATCGAGCAGCTCGCCTGCTGCCCAGGGCGAGAGGCGAAGGACGACCCTACAGTGCTGCGGCGTCGACGTCCACGTGCGGGGGGGCTGGAGTTTTGGCTTGACGCAGGCTGTGAATCAGCGGTGATAACGCTGATAGCGGGCGCTGAGTCGCCAGCGGCAGCCTTCCAACCGCCGATTTGGGACGCTGCGAGCTTACCAGCGACCCGGGAGGCGGCGGGGGGGCGAGGCTGGGAGGCAGCGGGCTGCGCTGGTGAAGCTGGAGACGCACATCGATGCGGCGTCGGATGCCTTCCCGCGCGCTTCTAGCACGCTTTAGCCCGCTTTGGCACGGCTTCTAGTCAGGTTCTAGCGGGCTTCAGTGCCTCAGGGCCGCGAGTCACGGCCCAGGGCGCATTGACGGCAGGCTCACTGGCCGCCGGCCGGCCTTGGGGCGCGCCAGCTGTTGCGCAGCGTCAGACGGACGCGGTGTCATCATCTTGCTGCTGCGGTGGCGAGCGGGCTGCAGCTGGCTCTGAGCCCAGGGCGCGCGGCTCACTGCAAGAGCGTTGGCGCGGGCGTATGGGCGTTTCGCTCCCTGCTGGAGGGCGGCGTGCGGCGCTGGTGGAAACGGGCTGCTCGCGTTAGCGGAATTTCATGCCAGGTACGAGACCGCAAGCCAGGGGCATCCCTTCCGCTGGAACTGCTGGAACATCTGTGCCGTCGATCCCCTTGCCATTTGCCAGAAATTATGGCTTTTGCGCAGAGCAGGGTCTCCTTTGAAACAGCCCGAAGAGCCGTCGGCCGGCACGTCATGTCATGTCGCTGCGAAATGCGTTCAAATTTCATTTGTCTCTCGCTTCCTGCCAAGCTAGGTCGCAGTGCTTTTGCGTTGGAAAGGGGCATGCTCTATATCTACCACCGGCGCCCATCCTCTACCCCATCCCACGCATCCTAAGCTTCCACCCTCCTGCCCAAGGCGACGCCTCTCCACCTCCTCCTCCCTCGCAAGTGTTTGCTTGCCTGTGCCACTCCGGCCTCCTCCCGCTTTCCTCCTCGCCCGCGTTCGCCTCTGTGGTCTGCGACACTCAGTAATTCTCGGCCCTTCCGCCTCGCACAACCGGCATCCTTTCCGCCTTTTCAGCTATCCGCCTGTCTTTTCCGTGAGTCCCGCCCGAGCCGTCTTCTCTCGCACGAATTGGCCGCTGACCATTTAAGCAGGCCGCTCTCAGCCAAAATGATTCTCCGGGAGACCGCCTCTGCCTCTACCAACATGGGCCGTGGTGCCTACGACACGACCGGCACGCCCAAGCCGACCCAGCCGCCGCCGCCCAAGCGCAGATGAGAACATCCCGCAACGACCGCCAGTCAGCATGACTGCTCCTCACCTGGCTGGCCTTGGTGATGTGTCGTCGCGCTAGCGCTGTCCTCGCCGCAGGGTTTTGGCATCGCCCATCGTAAGTGCTGTCCCGAGCGCCTGTCAAGCGGCGACACCTTGCATATGCACACCGCATCGAGGACTAACATCGACCCCTGCGCAGACGCCTTGCCATCCCTCGTCTTCCGCTTTCTGTCG